AAATAAGAGATCAACACCGAGAATTATAGTGGTTCGGGACACTAACTCGCCTACTCCAACTCCCCTAGACGCATCTGAGATCCGTCAAAGTTATCTCTTTTAAGGGTAAAGAGACAAACCAACAGTACAAGGCAAATAGATCCAAAAAACTAGATCTCCCCTTTTTTGTCCACTAGATTTCCAAAGGTTCTAGTTAACCTCAACCCTTTCTTGTTTGAGGAGTTCAGGAAAAACCTCAGTTCAAGACATTACGTATCCCAACACATGAGAAGGTCGCTTGATAACTCTAGGTCTTAAGTAGCTTCTAAACCTAAGCTATTACACTCAAAAGTTTTAACAAAATAAACAAATAAAGAGTCTGTCTACTATAGATTACACAATCTAAATAGACAGAAAGAAACGCCCATATAAGCACAGGAAAAACAGTTTTATCAGATTAGAAAGTCGATTAAAACACCGAACTGTTTTTCAAAAGAAATTGTAAAAATTCTTTTCACTTTGAATATAAAAACGTTAAGTTTATAGATGAAAAGAAAATAGGGGTAGAGTAAGTTTTGAGAGAAAAGGATTCGTTCAATGAAAGAGAGTACTCTTAAAACAAATACTCTTACTTCACCAAATGTTTAAGACGTGAATGTTCCTTTATATAAGAAACAAAGAAGCTGTTGCCTTTTGGAAAGATATTGAAATCATTTTATTTTGAAATCAGAATATCTGCTTTCCTTATTTAGAAGATACGAAAATCTTGGTTACCCAAATTTTATCTTATCCCCTTTTTGGTAAGAGAATAAAACACGATTTGCTTTCTTTTAAACAAGAGATTTCCGACAGCAATATTTGGAAAATACTTTTGCGGAAGGATACTCTTACTAAAATCGAAAGAGATTCTCTTTCATTTTTAAGGTAAGAAAGTATATTATACCTTTCAAAATATATTTTCGAAAAAGAGAGTGATTTATATTACCAAAAACATTAAGAGAAGAAATCTCTTTAGTTTTAGGAAAATAAATCTTTCCGATTTAAAAGAATATTTTCGAAAATAGATTAATTAAAGTAAATTAATTTTCCGAAAAATATTTTTGAGAGAGAAAAAGATTTTTGTGCTCATATATGGATTTTCTCTCTATCCTACAAAGTTTTCCTAAATACCTTTTTCCTAAATACTAGCTACTAGGTCTTCGAAATCTTCCATTCAAAGTAAAGACTTAGCCTTGTAATGATTTCTTTTTCCAAAAAATTTGCTGGGCATAAAATAAAATTAGTCATAAATAACATAATTTTAAATTTATTTGTGCTCATATATGGATTTTCTCTCTATCCTACAAAGTTTTCCTAAATACCTAGCTACTAGGTCTTCGAAATCTTCACATTCAAAGTAAGACTTGCCTTGTATGATTTTCTTTCCAAAAAATTTCTGCATAAAATAAAATTAGTATAAATAACATAATTTTAAATTTATTTGTTTTGTATTAATCATCAAAATCCGAGATTTAGATATTGACCCTTTAGCCAACAGTCTCAGCAAAGACCTCTCTTTTTAGTTGATACCGGGTTTCTCTCATAACCAGGCCCAAAAATGATGATTTAACACCAAAATAAAAAGAAAAGGAGACGGAGAAAGAAGTTAATGGCTCTCAAAACCACCGTTTTTAAGATCTCCAAGGATTTGTGTAAGAATGGATGAGAGAAACCCAAAAGTTGAGTTTTTGATCCAAAAATCTGATTTTGAGACTAAACGAACGTGTTTCTAGACTTTTCAAAGAATTCTTAAGGGTTTTATGATTGAAAGTGTATGAATCACAACCGGTTTTGGTTGAGTTTTGAAAATGGTAGAGTTTCCTTAATGTTTTCCAAAAAGTCCCCATAACACAATTTCCGATGCCTAATTTATAGACAAATGAGAATGTGTTGCCCTATTTTGGGGCTTATGTGGCAAAAATGCCACTAGTGGGCCCTAAAATAGGGTTGGGCTCATTTTTACAAAATCGGACCGAGTGGCACAAAAAATTAGGTGGTGTATCGGGAAGTGTGTCGGGCAAGCTCGACGCGCTTCGCGAACCCAGTTTCGTCGTGAAACGCCCAGTGACCCGAAAAGTAAAAACTGTTAAACACGTGTATTATATCAGCCATGGACCATTGGTTCGAAAACCAGGATATCAGGAATCCGGATCCAAAATTATGTTAAAAACAGTTTATCATCACTGAGCCATTAGGAGTAAAATTTGAGTATCTACAGTAGACACTCGCGGATATCTATGACCAGACCCATTTAATATAGTGGGTAAAGGGTAAAGAGTACCAAAGACATATATCTGTATCTGTTACGAGTAGTAATTTCACTACTTGTATATATCTCAAACCTATTTATAACTATTTATACCCATATTAAATAATCAGAGCAGAGCGACTATCCTAAAATATCTGTCCTGCTTCCATCCCAAACTAGAGTTGAATTTTCATTTTGTTAAACTTAAAGCATGAAAGAAAGAATCGCAAGTACACAATTCGCAGATGTTTAAATCAAGCCTCTCTCCAAACTCAATATTGCTTTTACTATTTTTTCAAAACTAGTGCAACTAAGGGGACATGCGAGGGATAAGAATAAGATCATCTTCTATTATATGTATATGGAATTATATATGCACACACCCACCCCCAAGAGTAAATTAATAGATTCTATCATTCTTCTATACTTTCAACTTCTAATCCAAATATATCATATCGTAGCTGTCTTGCTGGCATATTAACCAACACTTCAGCCCTTTGAAGGATATGCACCACACACGTAAAATATAAAATTTTTAATTATTCCTTCAAATGTTTAGGGATTTGACAAATTGTTCACTGCATGATAAAAGTGCAAAAGAAAAAAAAAAAAAAAAAGGAGTTAAAAGAACGTATGGACATAATCAAAATTCATTTTTGACATCCAACAATAAAATTCATTTCACATAAGAACTGTACATATGAAATTTCTGTCCATTGAAATTGAATCACTTGCTATATATGATGTGAAAGCATTACTCAAAGGTTCGATATATTGATGTCATTAAAAAATATGCATGTACCTGATATATGTAAAAATTAATATATGGTGAAATACATAAATTTATGCTTGAAGTTTACGCGATTTGTTTCTAGCACCTTCAAGTTTACGGAATTTATTATCAGCCTACATTTTTACATTTCAATAATAACTATGTCTTTTGTCAAAATAAAATGTAAAAGTGCAGAGCCATGGCGACTCTTGCAAAGTTATTTTATTTTGGAAAGAAAAATAATTAGTACTGAAATGTAAAAATGTAGATTCATGTAGTAAATCTCGTAAACTTCTGCGACAAATCTATACATTTCACGATTAACATATATTTACGAAGAAGAGGGCAATTGGGGTGGGCCAATTTCGTTGAGGCTATTAACACAAGGACAAAGTGTTTTATACCTGAGGAAGGCGGAAACCGGCCTCAAACACCACTACCCTCCCCCGTCTCAATTTCTTTTCCGGTGGCTACCGTCACTTCCCTCCACATAAATTTAATGGAAATTTATATTGCTATTTCGCCAAATATCAGAATTTAACTAACTAAAACTTAACTATTTCGTACATGCCTTTTTATGCAGATATATTGTTTTTTTGGTATTGTTATGATAATGATACCAAAAGGATCAGTTTTAGTATCTGGTGTATTTTTGTTGAAACATGATTAGTTTATTATTTTTTAGGGTAGGAAAAATTATAATCAAAAGTTACTACTTTATTCTTATATTTTAAAAAATAGACTATTTATACACTAATTATTAAAATGGAAATTTTATATTGCTATTCCTCCGCCTAAAATATCAAATAGAATTTTAAACTAACTAAAACTTAAACTATTTCGTACAATGCCTTTTATGCAGATATATTGTTTTTTTGGTAATTGTTGATGATAAGTGGGCGATGTAACAAGAGAGGATAACATTTTTAGATTATCTGTGTTGTATTTTTGTTTGAAAAATTGATTAGTTTATTATTTTTTTGGTGAGTGAGTACGAAAATTAAAAATCAAAAAGTTTATCAATACAAGTTTTAAATTCTTATAATTTTAAAAAAATAGACTTATTTATACATTGCGGAATTAGTTTCCTACTTTTAAAAAATTTCCATTATAATCTTTGTCCATATTTTAAAGATTACTAACTTTATCCTTAGTAATTTGGTAAAAAAATAGACTATTTTAGTACACTATTAGATCCCTCTTTTCAAAATCATATTATTTGGTCCTTAAATGCCCTTGGTGAAAAGACAAAAATAACCCTAATCAAACCCTCTCGTAGTCGGTCGTAAACCTCCTCGCCGACTATTTATACACTATTATCCCTCTTTTCAAAAATTCATATTTTGTCCTTAAATGCCTTGTGAAAAGACAAAAATAACCCTAATCCCTCTCTATCCGTAAACCTCCTCCCTAAAAAAAGTTTCTATGAAAGCCTGAGTTGCAAAGTTGCAGTAATAGGGGGGTTGAAATAGAAATGTGAATGTGCGTGGGGTTTAAGGGTATTTTTTGTCTATATATGGCACTTTAATGGTAAAATTTGTTGTTTTGACATAAGGACAATAGTAGAAAATATGAAAATTCAAAATAGAATGACATTAGTAACTGTTGTTAAAATATATGGATAAAATTATTATTTTTTCCATTTTTATAAACACAAATACCTTATCAAGAAAAGTACAGTGCATCTTCAAATATTAATTGTAAGGTCAAAACTAGCTAGAGATTCACTTGGTATGAAAACATGGGAAAAATCACTCTCTACACCAAATTAATTTTTGACTATTATATAAAATAGATAAAATATTAACAATTTTTAAAAAAGTTTTTGTATATTGGCTCCCTGAACATATATTGGAATTAAGAAAAGAAAAAGTAATGTTTATCATAATATTGTCTACAACTTTATTGACACTAAATTAATAATTTCAATTATGTCAAGAGGAAAAGTCCACAACCACAATATGATCAAACCTTACAAACATTAGAGCTTTATATCAAGCTTTAAAAGCAAATATAATTGACCAAACCTTAACCACATAATCATATCTAGTGAAAGCAATCATCCCTAACCAACAGTTGAAAGGTCATGCTTCCTTCTTGCAGAAATAGATATATAGATACATTATCCTAAACAAATTATTCAAAAATGAAAAGTACAGACCAAGGAAGAATTGAAAAAAAAAAAAAAAAAGGAAAAGAAAGGGCTAGAAGTTAAAAACTAAACCAAATGCTAAAATTGCACAGGAGTAGTTTGTCTTCAACTATACTTTCTCCCCCATTTTTGCATCAAACAATTCACAGCTCATTTTCATCCTCTTGCTTGTCACTTTCTTGTAGGCTGATGGTCTTGTACCAGTTAGCACTGAACAAGTAGAGAACGAAATCTAAAGCAGTAAGCACAGCAATTAAGAAGTAGAATCTGTCCAAATGGCCTGTGTTCAAGTCATCTGGTATCCAACCAGGCTTCTCACCTCTAGCTGTAATCCCCATTACGACATTAACAAGCAAACTACTAACATAGTTTCCAAGAGATATAGAAGCCATGCAAAGTGAGCTACCGAAGCTTTTTATACCATCTGGTGCTTGCCCATTAAAGAACTCAAGTTGACCTACATACATGAAAACTTCTGATGCACCCACCAGAACATACTGTGGAATTTGCCAAAATATGCTTAAAGAACTTACTTTTTGGCCAGGAATAACGTGTTTTAGCCTCTCAATTTCAGTAACACCAGCTGCAAACATTGCAAGCATTCCAATAATTAGTCCTATACCCATTCTTTGAAGTTCAGTTAAGCCTTTAGGATTACCACTCAATTTTCCGGCTAATGGCACTAGGATTTTTCTATAAATTCCAGTGCAGATAAGAACACTGCAAATATCAAATGCAGACATGCTAGCAGCTGGGAGTTGAAAATTTCCGATCTTAGAGTTCATTACATCTCCTTGTTCTACAAAGAGAGAAGCCATTTGTGTGAAGACGACCGAGTAGATTATAGTGCATAGCCAAATAGGTATTAGTTTAAGAACACATTTGGCTTCCTCAACTTGAGTTACTGTGCAAATTCTCCATGGATCATTTTGGTGCATCATATCGTCTTCTGTAATTGTTGCTGCCTTGTCCAAGAACCTGATCAAGTACCACAAAAAAAGAAAAAAAGAAAAAGAAAGGGACACTTTAACAAGCAGTTTGATTTCCATTCATGGAATATGGTAAAGAATTATATATGCTTGTGAATGATAAAAAAAGCACATAATATAAGTTTCGAAAAGCTAAAAGAATATTGTTTCTAAAAAAAAATTTCGATTCTTACTCGAACTCACTGCTATGAAGAATCTTTCTGCTCCCTTTGATTGCGGATTCTGGTCCTTCTACTTCATACAACTGATTAGCATTAGAAGGGACAACACCCCATTTCCTAGCCGCAGCCACAAAAACCTGAGCAACTCTTGGCAAAGGGTTACCACAAGGTTTTATGTACCGGTACCCAGGAGTCCCCAAAAAAAATGATACTAAGCCTATGATTGCGGAGCCTAATGATGCAAAAAACCCAAATGTCCATTTACCGGAATTTTCATAGTAAACCAAAATGGTGTTTGAGAATAAAGATCCAAAGTTGAGTGCAAAGTAGAAGTAACAGAAGAAAGCTGCTTTTGATTTCTTTTCTTTAGGTTTTTCCTCATCAAATTGGTCTGCTCCAAATGTAGCTATAGAGGGTTGGTATCCACCATAACCAAACGCTACTAAATATATAGATAAATAAAAAATGGCTACACCAACGGTTGATGCTGGCTCGCAATCTAGTTTTCCATCACCACACCCACTTGGTTTTATCAAGAAAAACCAAGAACAAAGCGATAAGAGCCCCAATCCCTAATTATACATGAACACAAATTGTTAGCAAGTCACATGCAAAATTCAAAATTAATTTTTCTAATTACATTAAAAATTATGCTTCTTTTTCCCTTTCAAGTTTCGATCTTAACTCAAAACAGACTCTGATAATTATGTAAATTAATAGATAATTGAGTAATTACCAATGCGAATACCAACTGAAAGAGTGCACAGGTCAAGTATCGGCCCCAATAAGAATCACTAAGGAAAGCTCCAATAAGCGAGCACATGTAAACTGTGCCAGTCCACTTGCTGACATTATTAGCAGCCGCAGCATTTTCTTGACCAAGAACTCTAGTTAAGAACAGAACCAAGTTCACCCCAACTCCAAAGAATGCTAGTGTAGCCAAGCCTTGATTAGCTGCAACCGCGCAATTGAAGTGGAAAAACAAAGGCAATGAAATAAGAATAAAAGGAAATTACAGAAAATATTAAATCTTTTTCTAATAATGTAGAGAGGTATATTACCTAGCAAGATGGTTGCAGCTTTCCAACCCCCTGAATTCTTCCAAATGAAGGACCTGTTTCTTTTTCTCTGTCCATTTTCGTTGCTGTTTATATTCACAGATTCATCATCTGGAGAAGTAATACTTTCTTCTGCCACCTGATTATAATAATAACAAGAATACTCATGATGTTGGTGATGGCCATGGTGGTGGTGATAACTGGCTTGCAATATCAGAAAATAAGAAAAATATGCTTTTGTTGATAAGATCACAATAGCTACAGTAGTAGCATTATTTATTTGGCTAACCAAGTAAAGACAAGTTGTAGTGAACTATACACAGCACTACCAACATAGCAACTTTTTGTGGCAAAGAAAATAAAATCATACGTGTCGTTACAAGATTTTGGGTCAAACTGGAAAAGGAAAGTGATCTTTGCCAAGTCTTACCATTTTCGGACACAATAGAGGTTTACACTCATCATAGAAAGATTCTGAGTCATTGAAGATTTGACACATATGTTGCCGATATAACTGTGTCTCTTGTAAATAAGGCATTTTTAGGTTTTAAAACTATTTATATGTACTAAGTTAGGCGGTGTACGTGTTTGGGTTGATTGATATTGTTTCTTTATTAATCTTGCTAGCCAATTATTAATTATAGACTATTAAAAAATGATTATTTTCAACCAATGAGTTTTAATTCAGTCAGATCAAATTATTATCTGCAAGAATTAGTATTTTCAAAATTAAACTAATCTTCCACTGGTTCGATTAATTTGACCAAGTAAGGAAAAAAGAACCAAAAAAAAAAAACAATTGACAATAATTTTAAGCTCAAAAAAGCAAAAAGTAAATTATAAAAACCATACTTAACTAATATTTTAACAATTTAGATTTACAAACCTTAAGCACAACCTCTTTGGTTGAGGTTTGCATATCCCTAGCAGCCATTGACAGTTTCTTCTGAAAACGAAAAAAAAAAAAAAAAAAGAGTTTGTGCAATTTGGGATATTTTTTCTTTCTCCATTCCATATATAGTTTAAAGTATATATTAACATTATTACTTGACAATTAATTAATTAATTAATAATAGTAAACTGAGTAGTTAGACAGAAGAATTTTACTAGTAATGATAATGCTAACTAATATTCTAATTTTCTTCTGAAAAAAAAAAAAAAAAAAAAGGATGTAAGTAAATAAACATGATTATAAATACTATCCTACAGAGAAAGTGAAAATTAACGTAGAATATGATTTAATTGCATGTCTTTATGTGTGCATGTATGAGAGCAAAGTGCGCTATCTATAGTGTATGTTAATTATTCTTACTAGATATAAGAACGAGCGTATCAATTAAATCTATTCTTATTTACTGTATAGCTGATATGTTTACATTTATGTGATGCTTACTAAAAAATTATTTGAAAAATTAAAGAAAATTGGGGAGAACATTATATTAAATAGAACAATAAGATGAGATGAGAGTGTTAAAAGAAAGAATAAGATCTACCACAAAATTATAAAAGTTCATTAAAAGTTTAAAATAACTCTGGCAATAGAATATAATGAAGAAAAGAAGGGAAAGAGACGGAGTTGTAGTGAAGGAATAACCTTAAGAATTGAAGTAGTGGTTTGAAAAGGAGAAGGTTGGGAAGAAAGGCACAATAGAAGCTCAATATATAGAAAAACAAACACACACACACACACCCACACACACCCACACACACACACACACAAAGTAAAGGAACGAGAGAGGGTGTCACTTTCAGAGACCTGCCTTATCATTGCTAATGAAGAAGAAATCTTTGGTGGAAGAAGAAGAAATCTTTGGTGGAATAAGAAGGAGAAGTCTGCTTAGAAGAGTTGTGCATGCCATATGTAAAATGGGTCATTTTCTTCCATGCAATTATAGCCTAGTGGAAATTGATTTTTATGAAAAAATTATTATATTCTCAAATATTTGATAATCTCTCCTCAATTTCACATGTTATTGATAACTTTTCTTGATAATGAAGTTATGCATAAATTCTAAATAATTTCATCACTATGCACAATTAGCAGTACTCAGTAAAACAGTTTTATAACAATCCAAACGTCAATCCTTGTCATTTATATGTACTAAAATCCACAAACCATATCTAGTCAAGCTCAATGCTTTTAGTGTTAGAAATGCTAAATTGGTAAGATCAAAACTCTCTTCTTCCTCATAATTCAACAACAATAATAATACTTTTTTTATTCCTGAAAAAAGTAAAATAGCTTCAGTAAAGTTTCTACCCTTTTAGCCAATTTTTGTTTAAGTGTTAGGAGAAGGGAATTCGAACTTAATATTTTATGCCTTAATGTGCTAATAAACTTGTAATATACATGATTTACAAAATATATTAATTTTTAGCTTTGAAATATTTCTAATGTAAGTGGGGACTTTTTTTTTTTTTTTTTTTTTTTTTTTTTTTTTTTTTTTTTTTTTTTTTTTTTTTTTTTTTGTCTTTGATGTATTCATAGTAATCTAATTATTAACTTAAACATTTTATTGATCAGGAAGCCAAATAAGCCAAAATAGGTACGATGATTTTTTGAATTAATTTAAAAGATAATTATCTTTTTTTTTTTTTTTTTTTTTTTTTTTGTCTTTGATGTATTCATAGTAATCTAATTATTAACTTACATTTTATTGATCAGGAAGCCAAATAAGCCAAAATAGTACGATGATTATTAATAAAAGTAATTATCTTTTTGACTCATAAAAATGAAAATTCGAACTCGACATATCTTATTTCTCACATTATTGAACTCAATACAACCAACCAAATTACACTTTTTACCGTGTGCATGGTACAACTTATTTTTATTACCATAAAATTATTGTAATAATATTTATATATTTTTGAAAAAAATAAGTGTTGCCTATTTCAATATTATCATGCATATTTCATATAAAATAATAAATTTAAAACAGTAAACAATGTCAATGGATAAATATTATTAATTGTATCCATTACCATATATGGTTATATAAGTCGTGATAGGTTTTATTAATTTAACTATTTGTATTTTCAATGATAAAAAATTATCTAGTGGAGGGTATAACTCCAAAAAATTGAAGTTTATTGTCAAACTAACAATTATAATTATTCCACGACTAAGCCTCTATAAGGGCTAAGGGCTATTAGATAACATTACCATGGGATGATATTGACTAGTCACTGCATACATTAATATATACATTGTATCAATTACCCTATTAATCCTACTTTTGAATTTTTTTTTTTTTTAGAGAAAAATAACCAATGGAGAGTAATATATATGATATGCATGAACCATTCACATGAAAGAAAAAAGAAAAAGTTATGTCCTCACGTGAAATTGTGAGGGCATAGGTCATTATGGAAAAGGAGCAGAGAAATTTTGCTACTGTAAATACATTTTTTTATATAATCTGCACATTTAATTTCCAAAGCGATAATGATCGGACTGAAATTATATTCTTGTCTTTACAGAGATCGAGATCGCTGACCACTCGATAAATAAGATTATAAATATATGTATTTTAATTTATTTGGAACTAAGAAAATATTAATGTTTTGAATTCTAATTCCATTGAAATCAAATCTAATTCAAATTAAAGTTGAAATTAAGATTCTCAGTTATATTAAGTAAAATATTTCATTTGCCAATCAAAAGGAAGTCCAAATTAAGATTAGCTAGGTGGCAGAATATGTATGTTTCAAATTTTTATAAAGATATATATAACTTTTTTTCATCTATCTTTAAATTTTTGTTAAATATTTTTTATATAGATTTTGTCACCCTAATTTTGAGATTATCCCCATAATTTTAAAGGTCTCCGCCACAACGGATAATTTTCTCCTTCTCTTTTAGAAAAAAGAAATTTTCTTGGTACGTCTCAAACCTTAGTCATCTTGCATTTTAATCGAGTTTTTAATCATCTTGCCCCCTCACTTTTATATAATAAATTTTATACTATTTTGCACCCCACTTCTAGATCCTAGCTGATTGTATGGCAAGGAGAAATTCTTGTTTGTTGGTGATAGATGAATATATAGGAAATATTCAGGTATCCTATGCCATAGATATCGCTTTCATGAGTCCTATAATCGTTTTGATCCATGAAATATATTATCAATCAGATATATTTGAATCATTCCCATCAGAGTTGTAATATGCATGCAAGAAGAATGAAGCTTACCTCAACAGATTACGGAATGCGGTCTGAAAGAAAGTATTGAGGGAGGGCAATGCCAATGAGCTCCGGTGATGGCGAAGAACGTGTATCAATGATGATTCCAACGAATTCTGGTGACGGTGAAGATCGGGTGTCGACAATACCAACAACCAAAGAAAGCCGGGAAATCGATAGACTTACCGGAAAATCAGAGAATCCGATGAACTCTTTTGTCATTTATATTTGATGTATAACAAAGCTAATAACAGCAGCAATTCTCTTATATCAAATCCCTCACAAAAGCTCAACTGGTGATCTAATGATAATCTTCATAGCCAGAAACTCTTTAAGTATTGTTGCTAATGGTGGAAATGCAGCTGATAATAACTTAATACGTGAGAAGAAGAGACAGCAAATTACTGTTTTGTTACTGTAGAAAACGAGAGACAGAGAGAGGGAGAGTGTTATATATTCAGCTTCCTCCGTTCATAACCATTTCCCTATAAAATACCAACTTCGTATCTCCGCGATCTTTTGTACGTTGATGGCCTTCTCCCCATTTTACGGTAGAAATTCAAAAAATAAATAAAATTGTGTATTATTTATTTTATGGTGTTTGAAAAAGTATTAATTTTTACTTGTACAAACCCCACTAGATAAAAAAAAAAAAAATAAGTGGAAAAAAAAAAAAAAAAAAAAACCCCAATAGATAAAAAAAAAAAAAATAAGTGGAAAAAAAAAAAAAAAAAAAAAAACAGTTGGACGACACTTGAAGTGTTGTCTACTGTAGACCTCTCAGACGCCTTGTGTTATCGTTTCATGTGAAAGAAAAACAATTTTATTATTTTTTAATTGTAAATTGCATTATTAAGTCTTTAATTAATTTATTTATTTAATAGCTATACTCCGGTCCATTAAATTATATCTATTATGAAATATAACAAATAGAGAATAAATATAGAAATGAAATAAATAAAATAAAATAAAGTAGAGAGAAATTGATTTCTTGCATTAGAGTCTTAGTTACTTAATTCAAAGGATAAAGAATTATTTATAGAATACAAAATATAATATAAAAACATAACCTTATATACAAAAGGATATAACCATTCATCCTAAACAATTATAACCTTACATATTAAAGAATATAACTATTCATTCTAAAAAACATAACATTTTATTTTAAAGGACATAAGTTACAGAGAAAATAAATAATTTTTTTTAATAAACTTAATGGACATCCATTATATAATATAGTATTTATAACACTCATTCTTGGACATCCATTACACAAAGAATATGTCTCATTAAAATCATTATGGGAAACAACCAAGTGGAAAAAAAAAATCCTAATGAAGGAAAAAAAAAACATTATTCTTTGTGTCTTAAAAATTTATTAAAGGGAGGATTCATTAAACTATTAATAAAGGTCTGCTTTTAGAATATTAAATTGACACATACTGATCTTGTATACCATTTTGTTGAATGTTGAAGTTAATAGAAACTTGGTAAATAAATCTGTCATATTGTCATTTGAACGATTCTGTTGTACATTAATATCATCATTCTTCCGAAGATTATATGTGAAAAAGAACTTTTGTGATATATGTTTGGTTCTATATCCCTTAATGAATCCTCCCTTTAATTGGGCTATGCAAGCTGCATTATCCTGATACAACACTGTGGGTATGTCTTTATAAGTGTAGATGCTTAAATTTCGCCTCTAAAAGGTTCAGTGATGATATACCGTTTTTTCACATAAAACTGGATCGGGATTCCCGATCGCTCTGGGTTTTTGGACCGATGGTCTGTCGCTAAGATGATCAATGTGTTTAACCACTTTTACCATTTTGGATTACCGGGCATTTCGCGATGAAATCGGACTCAGAAAGTGCGTCAGGCTCGCTTAGCAGACTTTCCGGTGCACCGCCTTGTTTTGCATGCCACTCGGTCTGATTTTGTAGAAGTGGATCAGGTCCCATTACGGGGCCCGACAGTGGCTTATTACCACGTCAGTCCTAAAATGGGGCCACCCACCCTCATTTGTCTATAAATAGGCATTCAGAGGTGTGTAAAAGGGGGATTCTTTTGGGAAATAAGGGGAAGCACTTGCATTTTAAAAACTCAATAAAGAAATCTACAGGCAATTTGTATTAACCTTGGATTTATGTTGAGAATTCATTGATTAATTAATCAAAAACCCCTTGTAGACAATCTAGAATCCTAAAATACAAACTCTAATCTTGAATCTCGAATTTTTGGATCAAGAATCAAGTGTTGGATTTTTCATCATCCATTTTTGAGCAAATCATCAAAGAAATTATAAAATGTAGTTTCAGAGAACCTTTAAACGCTTTCTTCATATTTTTCTTTGCTTTTTCGGTGTTTAAAACGCGTTCCCTGGGTCTGGTTGTGAGAGAAGCCTAGGATCAACCAAACAGGAGTTTCTGCACCTCTGTGGTGCGAGGCCAATAGTAGTGGAGTGCACCACTGTGTGTAGCATGTGCTACTTCCTTATGGCTCACACCACAAGTGCCCAGAAACTCTTGTTCTTACTCAATAACGTCCCTATCCGGTGATCCGGTGGCCAAGCTTCGACCTGAAAAAGTTCTTGATGCGTATTAGGTTATATATGGATCAAATAAACAAATAAAACATGATTGAGAGCATTAATTGGTGGATTTGTTCATCTTTCTAGGATGAACATCAAGATCATAAGCTTAAATCATGTTGAAACATTTAAATTTATGTAATATAATTATTGTCATTTACTTTATTAGCATTTTATTATTCCTGTTCTTTTATTATTTTTGTCCTTTTAATTCTTGTCATTTAAGTTTAATGTTCATTGTTATTATACTAACCCTTTATTTGTTAATCTTGTATCATTTACATTCATCATATATATGATTGTTGGATGATTGATTGTGTTGTGATCTTGTAATTAATATACTCATGTGGGTACTTGTTGTTCTTTATGTTTGTTGCTTGTGGTTTGGATTTATTTTTTATTTAAGCTTCTTATTGCTAAATGCAAAGGGTCCTTAATGGGATTCCTATTATTGCCTGATGTAATTATTATTTGGGTTTGAAAAGTTTGAAGGGTTTTAGGGTAGATTATAATGATTAGGGTGGTTTGTAACTCTATTCTCCTCATCTCCCCTTCTTTGATTTATTTATTTTATGTTGTTTGGGATGAGATTGAATATATACTTGACATGTTTACCAAAAAGTGCATAAAAGTTATTACATCTCAATTTTTAGTTAATTGCATTATTAGATTATTGTGAATGTTTGGACAACATGGACCCCGGCTTAGCCGGGCAAAATGGATGCCTAACACCTTCCCATTTTGTACCTAACTTCCAAACCCTATCTTTGGTTTAAAACCGAATTAGTCAATTTCAAAGAATCGATTGATTTGAGAATTTCCCTAATAAGGGTGGTGACTCCAAATTAAAACTTTTACCAAAGTAAGAGAACCTTTTTCCGAGGATTTACCGGGGTTAATAAAAGAAAATCATTTTTATTAAATAAAATAAATCAAGTCCATTCGATTCGATTCTTTCCAATCTCTTGGAAAAAATCCGACGTCCTCAATAAGATAAACTACTTTTTTTTCGAATAAAATAAATCATGGATTTTAACCAAATGCATTCTTGACTTGTTTCATGAATGGCTATTATTTCTACATGATTTGAGGGAGTAGCAATTATAGATTGCTTTATAGATCGCCATGATATAGTTGCACCTCCATAAGTAAATAAATAGTCTGTTTGATATCTTACTTTTTATGGATAAAATAAATACCCTACATCTGCATAACTAATTAAATCTGGACTAGATTCATTGGAATAAAATAAACCTATATTAATCGTCCCTTTGAAATATCTCAGGATATACTTGATTCCGTTCCAGTGCCTTCGAGTATGATTAGAACTATATCTTGCAAGTAAATTCACAGAAAATGCTTTATGTAGTCTTTTAATATTTGCAAGATATATAAGTGCACCACTTGCACTGAGATATAGTACTTTAGCACTAAGAAGTTCCTCATTGTTATGAGTTTCTGGAGGTCAAAATGGATCTGTATTTACATCAAATGATCAAACAACATTGGACTACTCAATGAATGAGCTTTATCCATATAAAATCCTTTTAAAATCTTTTCTGTATAAGCAGATTGATGAATTAAAGTTTCTTTTGGTAAATGTTAAATTTGTAAACAGGGACAAAATTTTATCTTCCCAGGTCTTTCATTTCAAAATTTTTCTTTAAATACTTCATTGAATTTTGGAGCTCTATTAGATTTCCAGTGAGATTTATATCATCAACATATACAGTAATAACAACAAATTCAGATGTTGACCTTTTTATAAAACACATGGACAAATTGGATCATTATGTAACATTCCTTTATCAGATATGTACTGAGGCAATTGTACCCATGCGCCCATATTGCTTTACTACATACAAAGACCTTTGTGATTTGATTGAATATAATTCTCTGAAATTTGACTTATATGCTTTAGACATTTTAAATCCTTCAGGGATTTTCATATAAATGTCATTATCAAGTGAGCCTTATAGATTGGCTACAACCACATCCGTTAAATGCATTTCAAGTTTTTCATGGACTATTAAACTGATAAGGTACCGAAACCGTAATTGCATCTATAAAAAGAGAATATGTTTCTTCATAATAAATACCAGATCTTTGTGAAAATCCTTGTGCCATAAGGCATGCTTTATACTTTATAATTTCATCATTGTTTCTTTCCTTTTCGCACAAAGACCCATTTGTTTTCGGTCAATTTCACACCCTTTGGTGTCTGGACTACTAGTCCAAAAACTTCACGTTTGTTAAGTGATTTAATTTAGATTGAATTACATCTTTCCATTTTGGCCAATCATGCCTTCGTCGACATTCTTTAACAGATTGTGGCTCAATATCTTCACTATCTTTCACAACATCAAGTGTAATATTATAAGCAAAAATATCATCAATTATTGTTATCACTCGATTTAGATTTCTTCCTATAGTGACAAAACTTATTAATTTTTCCTCATTTTCTTGATATTCATATAAATGATTTTCTTCGAGAATTTTTTCTTAATCCATTTCATTAGATTCTTCAATAGTGTTATTAAGATTATTTGATGTTTTTCTTCCTTCTAGGATTTATGTCCTAAAAACCCAATGGTCTACCACGCTTCTAGCATACATTAGATTACTTAGCAATAGCACCAATGGATGGTCCTGAGGGACATCAATTCGAACTGGAACATTAGTAGCTGGAATATATAATTTGATTATCGTTTCGAATCAGTAAATACATCTGACATTTGATTTGTTATTCTTTGCAAATTAATTATCTTTTCAACTTCTTGCTCACATATAATTGCATAAGGATCAAGATGATATAAAGATGAAAAATTCTTTTCAAGTTCCCTTTTTATTTCCTTATTCTCTCCCCCTAATTTTGGAAAAATTATTTCATCAAATTGATAGTCAGCAAAACGAGCTGTAAATAAATCTTCTATCAATGGTTCGAGGTAATGAA